CCTCTGGTGGCAACGACCGAGAGAACCCGCAATGTCTACATCGCAGCTTCGCAGTCTCCTGACCGCGCATCATGGCATGTGCGCTTTGGCAACTGTCCAGAAGCCTGACCACAAACTCGGCCATGTCTTCTTGGACTCCACGATAGAAGATGTCTGTCACGCTTGTGGGCACCGAGCTGCTACGCGGGTGGTGAATCAACAACTCCGCAGCTGCCTTCACTGCCTTTTCTGTCTCCGAGTGACCATTGGCAACGGCTTCGACAAAGCCCGGGACTGCGAAGACCAGCTGGAGGCCTGCGTTCACAAAGCATGAGGCGCCAAGATTGCGGAACCCGGTAGCCGGCGTGCTCATGACAGGAGGCGATTGAAAGGAATACTCGCGACCCTTGGTTTCAAACTCTGCGGCACATGCAAGCTTTAGGTTTCAAGACCTCCGAGAATGCAATGACAGCACGCGGCTTGCACAACCGACAAACTTCATCGTGCTTTGGCAAGCGTCCAAGAGTACAAGCTGTAAGTTACCTGCCGCAAAGCAAGAGCAGGCAGCTTGTAAATGTACGCATCCTGTGACGTGCTGTTGAATGCATTACATGTGCAAGAACCTTTTTGCACACAGGAGGAGTGCGAACCTGCAAAAGTGAGTCTGGTCAGCAAAGGCGTAGCGCCGAGGCAAACACAAAAGCTTACACTACAAATCGAAGGTTTCTTTACAAATCGAGACTGATATGCCGGAGGCTTGCAAGGCCTACCACATTCCGCGGCTGCAAAAGTCTTACAAATCCTGGCGCAGACTGCGGCGACCCGGCATAATTACAAATCTAGTTGAATCCAGTTGTCTGCATGTTCGTGTGCGTCATTTTATTCTGTGCAAGAACCAATGGTATGATACGTACATGTGACTGCCCGTAACAGCGCGGCGGCCGTGTCTTGCACACGCAACCACACAGCCATTAAGCAGCACTTCTCAAAAAACTGAGGCTCCAGAATCTTATTTGCAGAATGGCCGGGGCACACGCCATCAGATCCGCTTAGCTGTACATCTTTAAATGCCATAGATGCATGGAAGCAAGGCACACGGGCTTGACGCACCTTCACAGATCAAACAAGCCGGTGGAATCAGACCCGCCAGCTGTGCTTGCGGTGGCGGGCTCAGGGGCACGCTGGAGCCGAGCTGTCATTGCGGCAACGAAGTCGGCCTCGGACATTGGTTTGTGATGGAG